ACATGTGTACTTTTGTTTTTGCCATACATGTGGGTACTTGTGTTTGTGCCATACATGTGGGTACTTGTACGGCTGCAAGAAGGCTTGTTATTGTTTGTTCGTATACTGTATTGTTTCTCTAAAAAAAAAACAGTCTACTACTACCACTTGTGTTTGTGCCATACATGTGATGTAAACGATCTAGCGCCGATTGTAATGTATGCGCTACAGCGCGGTCTGATTGGTCAGGCTGTTACAAAACTGGCATCACCCCCCGGACCAGGGAGTTGGAAACTGCAAGACAGTGCAAATTTTTGCACTTGAATTTCGCGGGCAAATGGCAACATATGGGGGAAAGGATGCCAGATTACGAAAATAGAGTTACATAGCTACTAGATTAGATGGTTGTTTTTATGAACAGCTTATTATGAAATTTTGGCTCAGCGGCTCTCAGCACTACCCTGACCAAACCTTAAAGGTATGATATATTGAAAACACATTTCAGTGCTTGAAAACAGTCATTGTAAGGTATATCTACTGATGATTACAGGATGGCTGTGGCAACTCTGAAAGCAGTAAAATTTGTAGATAGGTAGGCTACCGGATGTGTAAGAATCTCGTCTCAAAATCAGGGCTGTGCATGCTAGCTTGACGTTTTATTCATTATTGATTATTCTAGCTATAAGCCTGCACCTTTGGGAGAAAGAACAAGGTCTTATGAACTCAAATTATGGAAAATTCCCCTCGACTCCCCAATCCGCCTGAAACATGCTTCAAATCCCTAGCAGACAATTCTGCGCCAGTCTTAGCAGAATTTGACTAGCCTTGAATCTTACACATCTCGTTTACCAAATCCTTTCCATGGCGATTTCTGTCCAAGGTGAATTGTCCATGGACTTGCTTTCACAGCGGTGGATTGGGTGTCCTGATGAACCATCACATGCAGCCGTTCCCAAAAGAACCCACTCTACGTTCAAGATGAAGGAAAAGAAAGAGAGGTACTTGGAGTAATGAACTGGAATATGCATTAGCCTCAGAAAAGGCACGTTTCAATCACTGCAACTTGGCATGAATGCCCCCTTCATGTTGATTAATCCAACAGGACATTTTTCTGCTCTTTGTTGGGTGATGAAGGCATGTTCTCATCATTTTCATCTCAACTGGGTGTTTGCAGACTGATAGGGCTTCATCTTCAAGGAGGGTGCACTGTTGGGTGGCCGTCTTTTGGATGCAAAAGAGTGTGCAGGGGAGACCATGCATTAGAAATATCTCTATTCACTGACTTGTGACACTAAGCAGTATTTCCTAGAGTCTAGCTCTTATCATGCACATGCCTGCCTGCATAAACAATCTGAAGTTGTTGGCCTGGAAGAGGCCACTCTCAGCAGCCCACATGCGATTGTAATTTGGTGACAGCACTTGTGCAAATATGGGAGTGAATACAGTAGGATTGTGTTTAGTAGACTTATATATTGGTAAAAAGGGACTAAATGGGTGGGGGGGGGTGAACAGGATTCTTGGAAGAAATCTTAAAAAAAGCACGTTAAAAAAAATGATAAATTGTTGTATGAAAGAAATCCATGGGAATATTGTTCACGTGTTTTCATTTGGAATTTAACTGACCTGAAAAAGTATTAATTGATATAGATTGAGCATACGTCCTAATTGAAAATCTCATTTTCCATCCTGTCAAGTATTCTAGGGCATTCCTTGATTATCATAGCAGAGATCATAATTCCTTGATCATATTGTAATAAAGTGAATGCATTAATCTTGAATACCCTTTCCAGCTGGTTTGGTCAAGCAGCCTGGGTCATGTAGTAAAAGAGGGGTGGGGGTGAAACAAAGGTTGTCTAAAACAAGACGTTTGAAAAAAAACATTAGGATGGAACTGGCAAAGTATGTATCCAAATTCAATGTGACAAATGGGAACAAAGTATGCTGGTCTTAAGGGCATGACCCTTCAAATTAGTGGTCAGTAAGAAGAATAGTAAGAATTTAGAGGTCAGGTCAGGACCTTGAGAACAACACAAAGAAGGATGGAAAGATTTCATTCTACTTGAGGAATGTTCTTCATCTGAATGACCACATTAGCTATGCTTGAGCAACAACCAGATGTGGGAGGAATCTAGGTCAGCCCCGAAAGTCACCTGTGTCTACAAACTGATAGTCTTTTACATATTGATTGTGCATTATTAATGACTTGCATTGATGGTGTCCTTGGGTTTTATGTGGCACTGGAGATGTTTTAAGTTGTAGGTGGTTGTCGGCTTTTTTTTTTGCAGCTGGAGGAAGGTCTAAACATTGGCTACTAGTAGTATGTTAATATAAAAAGCGTTACAGCTAAAAATTTTTTTGTGGTTGGGGGCTTGACTTGATTGACTGCCAAAATAGAGGCAAGTTGCTTTTATGTAAGTATTGCAGGAATTTCAGGAAAAATTTCCCTGCAAATGTCTTCATTTTGAAGATTATCTTGGATGTTGCATATACATGTGGGGACATCTGTGCTTTTCTACCCAAGCAAATCCACCAGGAGAAATTAGGCATGAAATTAGACAGTAAACAATAGTCTTGCCCTGAGGATTTTTGTGTGCATGACATGATACAGATAAGAGAAAATTTTCCCACGGATACTGCATTAGTGATTAGAGGATATACAGCACCTAGAAACCATTTTCTTTTTCTAGGTAATTTTAATCTTGATGTTTTTGCACCTAGCTGAAATAGTATGACAAGAACCTTGTCATGGCACAAAGAACAAAGCTTTCCACTACAAGGCTACACCTCCTCATTCATGTGGGTTTTTATTTTTCATTGGTCCCTGTCCGGTCCCATGATTTGAGAGTGTATGGTTGGGTCCTGTAATATAGCACCCTTGTTGATGCCATTTATGTGTCAGTTGTGTACCTGACCCTAGTAGTGACCCCAGCTACACATATCCTGTTAGTATTCCTGGTTTGACAGCCCTAATCCCCAGGGAATGTCTGGGTTGTGTTTTGTGGTCTCACATGGAAACATTTCAGTTGGAAGGGGAGAGTGGTAGCAAAAATGTCCTCTCACCTAGGGTACATGTTATGTTTCTTGGTGCCTAGCATAATTTGGGATGTTGTATATACATTGACAAACAAACCTGTAAGATACAATGTTCAAGATTTTCATAATGTCACCCATTAGTGCAGGTAGAATTGGACTTCTGCAGGGATTTCTGTAGTACATGTACTTAGTTTATAGTTGCATGTGGATTTTTGTTGTATTCTTGACTAGCAACTACCCATGAAATACAAAATGATATGATTACAGTGTTTTCTACAGTTTCAGCATGGTCCGTACTTTCTAAATTCAGATTTGTAAAGGTAAAATATGCCCTTTCATGCTACAGACATGTAGAGGTGAAGATGTACTGGGCAAGATATTATAAACTTTAAGCATGGTGTAAAAGCCAGAAGGAATGTGGAATGTAGACAGTTGTGGCTGACCAAATCTTTGTGTTTTCCAGCTCAAAATGCGATCACCCTTCCTGATGATGGCATCACTCGAACCAACCTCGGTGACGACTCTATTCTGGAGTATGGGTATACAACCGCGCCTGGTGCCACCATGCTGTTTGAGGTCTGGAAAAAGATGCCATCAAGCGGCATTGCCAACAAGGCCAACAATGGTTCCTTCAACGTCTTTGCGGCTTGGCGCGTAAGTATGGCTAACGTACATTAGAATGCACCCAATTTTTAGAGGTGACCAAACCTTGCTTTCTTTGGATCACAGCAAGTTTCTTTCAGCAAATCCATGAAATTCAGAATCCCAATTATTGCCTTCGTTGAGAAGGCTATGCAATCACTTTGCTATTCAGTGTAAGTAACTCTTGAAGGCGTGGTTTGATGTGAATGATTTTTGGCACTCGGGTTACCCTTAGGAAGACCAAGGTCAAGTTCAAAAACGGGCCTCGGTTGACATTGATTAGAAATCCACTGTGAACAGGACTTAACAATCCTATATGGTAATGTACACCTCCAGGGCAGGGCGAACCTGTTGGACAGGCCAGCTTGAAACTTTTCAGCGTGACCAAGGACGATGCAGGACAGTACCAGCTCTCTACCACCTTCAGCGATGGAACCTCAGACAGCAAAGAGAGAACCCTGATCGTGCAGTGTAAGTCTTCTGTGTTGTGTTATCTATCAATGCATTGGTTTGATAAAAAGTTCAAAGTCTATTGTTTGAATTATCAAACCAGCCCGGTATGTTGATGCCATGGCTCATGCCATTACTTTTAGGGTTATCAGAGGATGCCTAGGTCTCTTTTATATATTTTTTCGCCCTGTCACTACAATTTTTTTCTGAAAAAGTCTATGAACCAATAATTTAAATTGTCAGCAGCAGAATAATCAAATCCTGGCTAGTGAGTGAGTGGTCTAATTGATTTTTTCCTCCTTGTTTAGTTGCTCCAGAGGACACGACAGTCACAGCCGCCCCTGGCCTGATAGCTAAGGAAGGTGACGCCCAGGTGGTGCTCACCTGTCAGTCAGGTGGCATCCCCGCACCTACCTACACCTGGACTGGCGACAACCTGCCTGCTGATGCCGCCCAGGATCCAAACACGGGAACCCTGACCATCACCAACATCCAGAGGAGCGCGGCAGGCCAGTACACCTGCACAGCTGACAACGGAGTTCCGCAGCTGCCTGGAGACAACCCTACAGCACTCACCAACAGTGTCAACGTTCAGGTCCAGTGTAAGTCTACCACTCAATCATTATGTTAACCTTCGCAGAAGCAAGACATATTGTTTTTGCTCAGTTTCTTCTTCTGCTCCAAACAAATAAAGTCAATGATCTGCACCAGATGTCTGTCACCATGGTAACTGGTAGAAGTCCCTGTGGTGTTGGATAACTTTATGTAGCGAGGTAGAGTTAGAGGACTGCTCACCACCATATATATGAAGGTGTTTGAATAAGAATAAACAGTAGTACTTTGTTGGCTAGACATTGTCAAGGTTAACATTATGCATTTGCTTTACAAATATTAGATTTCTAGTTGTTTTTTTTCCCATTTGATTTTGCCTAGTATTTAGCTGAAAACCATCTCATTTTCAGACAAATGATTTGTTGTCTCCAGCTGAAATTTGAGACCATACTTGTACTACCCTGAGTACCAGGAATGAAATCTTTTTAGCATGTCTTTATGCTATGTTGAATGCCTGTTCCAACCAGATGGCCCAAGTGCCGCCACCATCACAAGGGACCCAGCAGACAAGGTTGTGCAGTGGAGCACTGTCATCCTCAGCTGTGCTGTGGACACCGCCAACCCTCCTGCCACTTACACCTGGACCAGAGTCAACGGGACCCTCCCCACCAACACAGACGTGGACGTGGTCGCTGGCACGCTGAGGCTGAAGTCTATCCAGCCCGATGCTGTCGGAACCTACCAGTGTTCTGCCTCCAACCGCATCGGAGACCCTGCCATCGCCACTCACGTCATCGATGAAGTGGAAGAAGGTATGAATACGGCGTCCTTGGTCTCTCTGGATTGTGGCTCTGTAGTACTGCTGAGTAACTGGATTGCCTTTTGGTAATATTTCATAAAGTTTTGGAAATGAAAGCATTATACTTTTTTATGTGCTGAATTTGTAAGAAATGTATCCTTTTACTCAGCAAGCTTGTTTGTGATTTCTGTGATGTATAAAAAACGTTTTCCCTTTCAGCTTAAATCAGAATGGAGCCATGGTCCAGATTTCATTGTTTCCAAAATGTCACATTTCAAACAGTCCTGTTCTCATTTTCTACCACCTGAAAATGAAAAATTCACCAGAAACATTCATAAGTGCATATACATATTTACTATGTATACAGACAATTTTCTGTGCAATAAAAGATATCAAAAGGTTTTACAGGACTGTCTTTCAACTTTGGTATTTACTTTCTCAAGACTATCTAGTGTTACGTAAATCCAAGTCAGTAATTGGAATTTTTGATCATAGAATCAAGACTGGCAGACAAAATTTGAAGCATAAAACATCCATAACCATAATCAGATATGTGTAAAGAAATATGATAGCACTAGATAGTCTTCTTTATTTGACCTGTGTTAAAGATAAAATTTGATATACAAATTTCAAAAATGTTAGCAATTTTCATGTATAGCCTTTTCAAGCAAAAACACTTCACTGCTAAGGCAGGTTGTGGGGCATCTTGTGTTGAAATTAATATTTATAACTTTCTTATTCAGAACGGTGGAAAGGTGGCAACATAAGTGGATTTTTTCTCAATTACTTACTGGTGTGGGGAAATTAGTGACCGGTGGCTCAGTGTCCAAACTTTAACCCAGGAACCAAGAATACAGTCTTTGATGTACCTAATGTTCTAGCTCCTCCAAAAAGGAGCCAAAAATATCATGCGATCAGTTCTATGGATGGTTATTATTTATCATTGTTTTTTTTTTTAAATTCTAGTGAATCAATGAAGGTTCCAAACATGCATTGCTATTTGAACCAATAACACTTTTTTTTCTTTGGCTGGTCCATTTTGCTAAAATATTTTAGGAAACTGATGTTAACACAGTAAAATAAAATGTGAAAGTATCTTCTTCGCCTAAAACTCTTTTGTAAGGAATCTGTAATTGTACAACAAAGACTGTTACTGGGTTTTGTATATAAAAACTGCACTCCATACACCCCCTAATACCCTTAGCCGTCCTTGTGGCTAACACGTCTTTTCACATCACTGTCAACACTGCTGTTGTAATGTGGTTCTTCTGTCTGTACTTTTCCTGTCATTTCTGTGTGGCATAATTCAATAATGGGGCAGATGCCTTAACCTGTCTCTGTCTTATGTCTCTGTAGTATCACGTTTCATCATGGCAAACATCTAACCTGGAGACTAGTGTAAAAACAGTGTGTCATAACTTGCAGTTAAACACTAATTGTTTGTGTGGTTAACACTGTTTAAGGGGCTTTCTGTGTGTTGGTGGCACAACTTTGGTGTGCTTATATTCCTTTTATGATTTCAACAGGTTCTTTTGACTTCATATGTAAAGTCTGGCTGTTCTAGAAACATTAGCATATTGGGTTTTGTCCTGAAATTGGTGTTGGCTGTTGGAAAATTGAATAATTTTTTTATGATAAAATAAAATAAGAACATGAAGATGTGGTAGAATATGTGGTTTATATATGGCAGTGTAGACTACAAGTAGTTTGAAAGGTCTTAACCTACTATTGTTTTCTAGAACAGCCATTTAAAGGACAATCCTGATGTTATATTTGTTTTGAAATCCATGTATTTGTGCTTGGCCTTCTATTTGTTACCAACTGAAGGTCCCTTTTGTTGCAAATTGTGGTGTTGCGATTTCAAAAGATATGACAGTTCATGTATTAACTGGAAGACTAAACCCAATTCGTGATTAAATGCTGGTCTTGCCAATTGAAGCATTGCATCTTTTCCTATTGAAAATTATCCTTTTTTCATGATGAAAATTCTAAAATAGATTTTTTTATGAGTGGTTCTTATCAAAATGGTCAATATTGTATTGGGATGGTTAATTTTATGTTGTTAATATGACATATGGATCAAGTCTTTATGGCAAAGAAAAATCATTGGATTCTGAATAAAACAAAACATGGTGCCACTTTAATTCTTTGAAAATAGGTGGATGTGTCTGAAAGAACTAATCTTGTGTATTTGACAACTGTAAATATGTTTGCCATGATAGGTATAGTACTTTTATGCTTTCATTCTAATGCCATGTAATAATGGAACTTGATTTCTTCTGCCTCTGTATGATTTGAAGTACTATATTTAAGTTGACATCTAATGCATCTTTTCTTTTTCTTTTTTTGACATCCTTTCTTCATTTGTTCTCCTAACTCAACAACTGACCTGTTCCCCACCACTTACATGAAACAGCAACGTTGCCACCACCAAGTAAGATCCAGGGACATTAGACCCTACCTTGTTATTGATGAATCATTGATTGTTGATCATAATTTGTATTGATCCATGAATGATGAAGTTTTCTTGCATCAATGTTCTCCCTGGTTCCAAGTCATTGATGTTGTCACAAGGCATGTGCATTTCAATTTTAAATTTGCTTCTGTTTCAAATATTTCCAAAACTAAAACATTGGATATGTTGAGAAAAATCAAAATTATGAAAAATAGAGAATCATCAGGCCGATTGATATATTACTTGAGAAATGAATGGGAGTTTTGTATGCCATTGTCTTGTGACAAAGATGATTTTTGACCAGGTTGGACACTGATTCATGGAACAACATGTGATTCGAGATGGAGCAACTGTGCTTCCTACAGGAGAGAAGCTAATACAGGTTTAAAACTGCCATGTGTAGTTTTATAAACTGCTGGAAGAAATTCTGTATGGTCTTCCTGGCTTGAATTATACACGAGACAATGTCCAGAGATCTTTGGTTGGACAGATAAACGAATTCTGTTACTTGTCACCATAATTCGAAACGTATGTTTGGAAGTATTGCAAAAATCATATCCTCCTGTACACAGCACACAATGTTCCATCTGTCTGTGATTTCCACTGATTCTACCAATGCGAAGAATGGTGGAAAATCAGCTCATATGTACACCAATGATGCATGCAATGATTGCCACTTGGACAAGTCTTGATGAACTCAGACTGTTCTTGCCAATTGTGGTGGTTGGGTCTGTATAGAAGCTGCTGCATCACCCCTGGAGACATCCCCTCGTAGTCAAGCTTCCTAACTAACATAGAAGATGAAGAGACTGTATGCTCGTCAAAAGGATCAAAATATATTTTCTCATCTTCCAGCTGTAAGGGTTGATGAGGCTGATTTTGTAGTCTCAAATTAACGTTGAAAAAAATGATCACAAAAAATTTATTGGTATTCTGAATTTATATTGGCTATTGCATGCTGCAAAACTTCTAAGAGTGTCGTACAGTCCCTTCGAATTGTCACCCCCCCAATCCCCACCACTCCCAGCTGCCATTACATAGAACTAACACCATATTAGCTTAATTTTCATGGCTTTGGTATCTTCTGACTGTAGTTCAAATAATAGTGAAACCTAAAACACTACTGCTATCCACACTGCAGCTTTTTCTGAGCTTTCTTCTACTTTAAACTATTTTAATACTCAAAATCTTCTACTCCAAATTGTTCTTGGCTTTATTTGCTCTGCTAGTCTTTCCTTCCTCACTCTTTTCATCGATTCATTCACAAGGCTGTCCGTAATGCCAGTTCTTTGGAACACATGCATGAGAAAACCTCTAACACAACCAAGGTAGACCAGGAGGTGTAGAGACTAACGAAACTTTGGAATGGAAGTTGTCGTTTGCGGAGTGGTGTTTTTTTAAAAACTGAGTTTGTGACACAGTGAGGAGCTCTGTGATGTACAGGGTGTCCCAGTCATGAAACTTTGTTTGTTTAACGACTGGTTTTTACAAACTAATGTTTGTGGTATTGCTTATGCTGTGTAGCAGAAAGGTGGAGATCTCACATTTAAGTAGATTTTAGCTGTGGACATTTGTAGACAAGAAAGTGTTTTGGCAAAGGTATACAATTTTACCTGATGGTCTTTTAAAGCATCGGCCTTAAAAAAAAGGTAATGTTTCTGTGCACTTGACATATACTGAAGTTGTACCTTTCTGCTACATAAAGGAGCTTTTTTAAAAGGAAAAATTGCTCAGTGGTCTCATATAACATCAAATTTCTATTGGGACACCATGTAACAAGTTAGTCTTGGTCCATTTGTGCCATTGGAAAATACGACAATGTTGGCAATAATGATTGTAGAACTCTTATTAGAGTTACTAGTAAATCCCTTCATTTTGATAGGTAAATGGACCAATGGACCAAGACTCTTATTATGTAGCTTTTCAAGGCAAGTGTGTACATGCTAATAATATTCATATCTCTAGCAAAAATTTGTTACCCACAGAAAAATCAGTGAAATCAATACATGTATAGCACTTGCCTTGTACATCTTTTAATGAGTCTAATCAAATAGAGCAGGAAATGATTTCAAATTGATGAGTTGATTGTGAAAAGATTAACAGATTACCAAGCTGCAGTGATTGCCATGACAATTTTTCATTTGATTCTTGGTTTTGTTTTGACTGCCTAATCATGGAACTGAGTTATTTTACTTATTTTATTAACTGGCTGGTTTGAAGTATGACATTCCTAACATAACCTTTCTTTTGTTTCTTTACTTTTCTCCTTCCTTGAACCCTTCATTCGACCTGTTTCCCCGCCATCCCCATGATGCAGCAACGAAGCCACCACCTACAACCACAACAAACCAGTAACCACGGAAAAGTTGCGCCCCCTGCACCTCAAACGGGTGTGGTGCAGATGGAGCCGTAATTGCAGGTATGGGTGGCACGAGAAAAAAAAAAGAACAGCAAACGCGCTAGTATAGAGAACAAGTGGCTCTCAATTTTGGATGAATCCACCTTTTTCAGCACTCTGACCCACCTTTTCTCCTGACCGTACATTTCACAGCGCCCGCGCCACCGAGCGCGAGGACTTCCTCGGGGAATGTCGTTGGAGGTAAACCTTCCCATGTGTTGCCAAGTGTGCTGTTTCCCTCCTTGCTTTTTGCTCCTACTCTTGCGCTACCGCCGTTTGTTTTGTTCATGTTTGCGGCTGTGCTGTGCAGTTCTTCCTCTGTCTGTGCTCACTTTTTCGCTGGTCTGTGCACCGTGTGCGTCTAATTGTTACAGTCGTCACGTTCCTACTGAAGGAAGCTGCACTAAATCTGATGCAAGAAGGTGACAGGGACTTTTGGAGAAACTTGCCTTGGCTTGTGCAGCACAATTACCCTATCCCATCTAGCAAAGCATGCTTCTGACAACATTTGCTCAGTTTCGCTCCATGCTGTGCCAACCTCTCAACCACCCTCTAACAAAGCACTAACCTCTTGCATGTTGCTGTGATTCCTTGCCTCTGAAGAGGTACCTATGTACTATACCAAAGGTTAAAGCTTCTGCTTTCCGTCATCAGGCAATCTAGAAATTGCCCCATTAGGTGCAGCTGTTGTGGTTGTTCATGCAAAGTGCTGCCTTTGTAGTGCAACCAATCTGCAACCGAATGGGCCTTTTTCTAGGCTGAGCTCATACTAGCACTACAATTGGAAAAAGCATCTACTACTAGTAACTTTGCTTTTATTCTTTGCATTTATTTGAAAACTATAAAATGCTCATCTTTGCGACATCTTGGCTATCATCTCCAGTAAAATTCTGCTGTTGCAAACCATCCCTGTTTAAAAAAAACACTTTCAGCCTCCAAGCAAACCCTGTTTCACGATAGTTCTGTGTTCTGTAGAATAACATTTTCACAGGTAAACAAACATACATGTAACTCTCCAGGCATGCAACTTTCCATCAGTCATTTGCCCATGGACAGGCCAAGGCAAGTTTTAACCAGCAAGTTCTACAAAGACATGTGGCAGTTTCCATGACTGTCCTGTATCTGCAAGTATAGTCTGTGATTTCTTTCTACTTCTGGAGAGAGCTCTTACCAAAAAAAAAACTGTATTCCCGTGTAAATGTAGTAGAAATTATGTTCAGAAAAGAAAGATGAGCGATCCTCTCTCCACCTGCATCCTGGGATTGTTTTACCTCCATGGACGACCTTTGCCCCTGTGAGGAGTGTTCAGGTAAGTGGAGTGGTGGCGGCGGTTGAACGGTGGCAGGTGGTGATCGGTGTGTGTTCATTCAAAGTTGGAGCCCCTCTCCCATCGGACAGTGCCACAACACGTACGAACATCAGCAACCCCAGATTTCATTTCGTACAAAAAAAATAAAGCTCTACAAAAAAACTGTTTGATATCTGCTGATGTTCCTACAGTACTTGGCAAACCCTGTAACCTGCTCAATTTTGAATGAATACTGTTCTAGGGACAGGCCAGTACTACAGGCGGAACTACCTTGATCAGACGGATAAAATAGTGCTCGGAGGTAGGGTAACAGAAATCCGTTCGTGTGTGAGAGGGAGCAGCTATACATTTGTATGCAAGTCTAAGAGTGAATGGCCTATGGTTTTGTTTTTGCTTTGGCATGGCTTTTTCTCTACGTCTCAGCTTGGTTGATGTCCTGTCACTAGTTGATTCAAACTACAAGGTTTGTCCAAGGTTTGTCTAGTAGAAAACAAGGCAAATAAAACAGAATAAAGAAGACCACCAGGAAAGATACATGTATATTGGAAGCACTGTACAGTTAAGTATTCTTCTTCCACCCTGTAGTGAAAATTGCCATGAAGTCTCTTTTATTCAGAGACAGGGAAGAGCTATTTCATGGTTAGGCATGCATGATAATTGCTTCCCGGTATGCTCTCTTTGTGTTTTAATCATCGTCTGTCTCCTGCAAGCTTGTTTTCATCTTTTTGATGATATGCTTTGTGAGATACCAAATGTCTATGGAATGTTGCCTTTGTCTGTCTTTGCTGTTGGCTGTTTGTCTTTCTCGTAGACCTTCAGTTGTGTGGTGTATCTCCATATAAATGTGTTCACATCGTGTGTATTCGTTTAAACCACCTTGCCATCTTCCAAACTGGTACCGTGGAGTTACAGGTTCAGAACTTCCAACAGGTTTACAATTCCTTTCCCATAGTTTCTCTATGTCTATATCATAATATGAATATGTACCACCCAGACAAAAATTTACTAGTACGTAAAGGTATTCTTGTTTTGACATCTGTATGTTATTACATGTAGCTGGAAAAATATAAACATTTGCTGGCTGTTCTGTGTTGTATAAATGTAATATGTCTTAAAAGTCAGGATAACTACTGAAGATTACTATCTCTTGAGCCTGTTACCCCATGGTGCCAAGTGTTACCTCCCACCCTTTGGTAAAACACTGTCGAGTGTCTGTGTTGTCTGCATGACTGTGTGTACATGTACCATCATTGTGAGTACACAGTGGAGTCTTCTCGTGTTTGGTAGTTGCAGAAATCATCAAGGTAGGTGAAAACTTCATTTGCATTTATTGGTGACGCTTACTGTTGATAATTTGTATGTTTACATTTTGCTGTGGTCAGACCAAAGTGTTCTGTAATCTGTGACACAAGCGCCTGGCATCAAGGCAGACCTGTGTATATTTGAACATCGGAAAGCATTTTGTGTCTGAGTAAACCTAACCCTGGTGTTGGAATTGGTCAAAGAGTTCTTCAAACACTCAGGTAGGTTGATATGGTAGGGTCTTTTTTGGCAGTACACTTTGTATCTGTGTTGTTTAGTGAAATTTTTAAGTATCCTAAAAACTAACCAGTTGCTGCCATGTTTGCTGTGTAGTTATGCTGAAATGCTAGACACTAACCCAATTTACTGTACAAGTAAGTTGTTGGAAGATTCTTTTAACTTTTTAAAGTTTAGTTCAGCATTCAAGATGTGTTGCATCAAAGATAAACTAGCAAGATGTATGTAGTGCCTATTCTAGATTATATTTTAAGTTTCTAAATATTTGTCATGCTTCAAGAGAGTAATGTTAAAAACAACAAAAGTATTATTTTGCTTGCTATGTGACGTAAAAGTTGCAATTGTCGTTACATTGTGTTACCAAGAACAATTGTCTTGCATGTACAGTTAGTAAAAGTAGTGTATGCGTTCGTCATTACTGCATGTATTTGAAATCATTACATGATGCTTCAATTTGCTATTGGACATATCTTGAGTTGTAATGTAGGCATCAAAGGAAGCATTAAAACCTGTTAAAACGGCTAACGTTTGTGTCGCGTACCAGGTGTGGTTGCTGTGCTGGTGTTTGTGATCCTGGTCGCTGCCTTCATGCTCGGCCGCTACCTGGCACGTCACAAGGGCGACTACAAGACCAACGAGGAGAAGGGCGATGGAGAAGATGCCGACACCGCGCTCCAAAATGGCGACCCCAACCACCCAGCCGTCAAGAAGAACAAGGAGTGGTTCATTTAAACAACTCTCAAAAACCCCCCCTCTTGTTTCTTTCTTTAGGACAGTGGCTCTGTCTCTTAGTGTACTCACCAATTTCATAGTAACTTTGGAACACTGTACCACTCACATACAGATGTGTTTGTTTCAATGGGCTGCCTTATCTGCTTTTGTCTCTACACATTCCTGCTCTTTGTATCATCTCACATTCCTCCAGCTAATACATGAGGGAGGGGGGGCAGCCATTCTTAAATCAGTAGACTCATACTTTCCATATTAGCTCGTCATGCATAGTTTTGTGTAATTTCTAGATCAAGACTTAAAACAGAGCACTGACTTAAGTGTTGATTGTGATTGAAGACTGTTAAGTGATGTGTTTGCTGGTGATAACTGGTTGAAGTAAAGAAAGCTGACCTCATCACATTTGAGATTTCCTGTGATGACTTTTCAAGGATTGCTATTGAAGTGTGTGTAAACATGTGCCTACTCAACTCTCAGGCAACTGTATATGATCAACACCCCACGTTATAACTGAACATATGTTCTTTACTGCTTAGATGTTACTGTTCGATCCTGCAAAAGTATACAGCTGTCTTTACTTTGACCAGTTATACTGCATGATGTTTTGCTATAGTTTAAGTCACATTTGAAGAGGATGGTGTAAGGTTTGGTGTGTTTTAGAAGGATTGCTTGATTTTTAACGTTTTTAAACAGATTTTGATCAGAGTATGTGTTAGATCGTGAATTCTGTAAAAGGATTTTGTTCCGTTGCACTTTCTCTTTTTTTATCACTTTCTTCTAACTGCCAAAATTTAGCCTGTACTCCTTGCCAGTGATTTTGTGAAAATTACCACTTATGATTAGGCTGTAAGAAGTGGAGGAGCAGAAGTTTTATTTTTGTACTGTTTGGGAGGGGAGGAGTGTGGCTTACCGGTTTCCTGTACAAATGTATATAACCTCGGTGCCCACACGTAACCCTCCACAAGCAAGAATTATTGTCAGCATCACTCGGTGTAAAAGGTTTTGGAGTACGGATTTGTTGTATCTCTTTAATAGCAGCATTTTGGTAAAAATATGTGCTTTCAGGAAAATATGGATTTTTGTATGATAGAGTAGGCGGTAAGGCAACTATGATAAGGAACTCTTCTCTATTTGCCTGTTGTGTTGATTTCTTAAAGCAATAACCACGAGACTTAGATCTGTAGTACCCTTCAGGACTGCTAGAGGGAGCTGAACAGAACAGTCTGGAAATTCTTGTTATTCAACAGAATAGTTGTGCTTCAGAATTGTGTTCATCAGAAAGCATCTCTACTGCTGCATATTGTTTAGGTTGTTTTCAATGTATAAAAGATGTTGTTTTGCCAAAGGCAACATATCTTTATATAATAACTTTCCCAAATGAAGACAATTGCACAGCTCCAAGAGTGAAGATCATGTATTTGTGACATCACGTGATTGTAACATCTAACAGGTCAAATTCTGTCTTGGGTGATTTCTTGCTGTAACTATCCAATTATGAAAACTCCTTGGTGTGTAATGGTTGTTAAATTTTTCTCTATTTTGCTGCTGCATCAAAAAACGTAGTGTAGATGTTGGATTCTGTTTGTGTTATGTATGTACCAGTAGTTTTAGATCCTGTATTTTGCAAGTTTGTAGATAATTCAGCTTGACTGCAAATTTTTGAAGAAGATGATGTAAATAGTTCTAGAAATGCAAGATGGAAGATGTTTATTGGCCTTTTGTTGTCAGGACAGCAAACTTCATCGCTAGGTGCTGTTGTTTTTCTCAGATTATTACCCTATGAAGTAAACCCTGTCATAAAGACGGCAAACGAAAGCCATCTTCCGAAGAGAAAGAAGTTCTTCATGTGTGATTTTTCTACATTCCAAAGTGGAATTCCTTCTGTAGCTATCTCACGTGAAAGTAGCCGTTTCCAAGTCTGTACGAAGGGAAAAGTTCTCCACGTGCTTTCTTTCGACTGTGAAGTTATGATAGTCCTTCAATCGTGCAGGAAAGTATTGGTCACCTGTTTAAATATTTGCAGGGAATCCTCCATGCCTTTACTGTCACTGTATAAAGTAGACACTCTCTCATGACATCCATGTTGTGTTTGTGCTTTGCTGATTACAACCAGGTGCTATGTTTGATTTTTCTTGACATTTCTGGGAAGATTTAAACAGGTCTGATTATTACTTTCTTAAAATATTTCACATCTGTATGAAGGCTACCAATATTGTACAGGTCTTTAAAGTTTCAAAGCCAACAACGCTTGTATGTTTGTGTGTTGGTTATTGAAGCTGGTGCCCATTGCTATGTACCAATCAACGACTATCAGAGATAATGCTGTACTTTTGAAAAGAGCATGATCATTTCTGTGCGTATGAAAGCGTTGTAGCCCTGCACATGAAATTTCTAATGGAGACTTTCCCTCATAATCACTTTTCTATTAAATTTCCAAAATGTGATCATGGTTTAGTCTTCATTACTGGTTAGCTGCATGATGAGTGAGTTGAAAGAGAAGGTTGGGAATAATTCAGAATGTATGTACATGTAGTTACATGTACGTTTTAGCCTCTGCCAGTCTTCAGAAGTGACTGGAAAGAGGAGAAATTGGCCAAATAGATATCATGCCAGGGGAGTTGGGTCTGCTAAAGGTAAAAGTCCCCTGGTATGATGTTACCTGTTTATTTCAGTATTGGCCAGTTTCTATTCTTTCCAGCTACTCCTGAAGCCAGGTACAGGCTAGTTATGTTTGACACAAAAATCAGCTTGTCACAACATAGTTATACAAATATCAACAACACCAAAAATAGGTAACAAGATGTTAAGATAAATTGTAACAGGGAAATAATCTTTATTGTCCATGTAAAATTGAGATGTAAGAACCAAAAGCAGATTCAGAGCCTGACTGCTCAGCAGTGACCCCTATCAACTACTGTAAGAACTGCAATGACTACATATACATACAGAGCAGAAATCACAATTGCCTTGTGCTTAGCCCTCGGGGCAGCATGCTGTTTGGCCAAGGCCCCAAAATGGGAACACGATTGTAGTGCCTAGTACCTTTGAAAATCTTTATTCTTTTGAAACTTTTGGTCGTCCTGGTTTGTGCACGGCCAAGTTTGGGACAGCTAATTTCTTGTCTCTCTTTTCCGAAACTCCTTGTTAAAGTGCCCTTTTTTCTTTGAATTTAGATAGTGCACCAGACATCTTAGATGTAAGATCATGGGAGGGAAAAAATATTGCTAAGAATATCATCATCAGTCCCATTGCTTCTTATAAAAGATATTACATTTGTACATTCATAAAATATAGAGTATTGCATGGTGCTAATTTGTTGCTTCTATGACCTCTGGACATTCACCCCCATTGTCCAGAGCAGAGGGTCGTTGGTTTCCACGGTAACCAGGCCAGCTGCTGATTGGTCAAATGTGTTGGATGTGCTGATGAGTTCACCAAACTTCAGGGCTTGATCATCTAGAGAAAAGTGAAACAAACAATGAATGCTTCACAGGTAAAATTTATAATGTATGAGACTAATGTTTGATGTACATACCCCCCTCGGTTTTCACATTGATATTTCTGTTCGGCAGGGTTTTTTTCAAATCCAAGAACTACTGAATTAAATTGGTGCGGCCTTAAAGGCATTCAATGCAATTTCAAGGTGACGAAATGAAAAAAAAAAATATTCTGGATGAGGAAATCTGTCTAATATTGACAATTACTGCAATTTCTTAGCACATTTTCAGCATCAGTTCATACTTGCCTTTGAAATAGCCCAAAAGCAAACTGTGAGGCATCTCACAGCTAGAATTACACTGGATGCCTTCAAAGAGGCTGGGTGTTAGGCTATACATTGTACTTACTTAGGTTCCATTTGAGCCCTGTTGTGGTGACATGTGGGCATGTTCCACCTACAGGCACCAGTCCACACCACTCCCCCTCCCCACCGGTCTGCACATGCAGTAATGTCTTACCCTGGGGCAGAACAAGCATGAAAACCACTATAGTAACTTCATGTTTTAAGCCTTTTCTGGTGAAAAAAATACAGCATTTCTCGTAACTATCTGCAACAATAACAACAAAGTACTGAATATATTTAACATGGTAGTTTTCAAGTACATGCACATTCTACATATAAGAACTTAAGAAGGAACCACTTTGTAAAAAAAACATTTTATCCTAACTTTCTACATGTATCTGAAAGGCTGGAAAATACTCTTGTAGTTGATACATGGTCCATGTAAAGGATTCAACAATGCTGGTTGCACTAAACCTACATATCCCCAGTGCAAGTTAGTTGCAGGTAGACATCAGAAATACCTACACAGCTGCAATATCCTGCATATGCGGGTGGTATTTTGAGACCAATACGTGTGTAGCACCGAGAGTTAGTACCGGTAATGCATAATGCTCACAACAACTACAGCACGTTATAATGAATGCAATAAAGATGACTTACTGGAGACAACAAAAAAGCCATGGACACTTCATCCAGTAGAATGACAGGAATACTTGTGAGGGAGCGAGCTTCATACAGAGTGTTGATGTTGGCCATGACTTGGTCCATCCTGCCTCCAAATGCCCCCACAGAGACAATATAGTCCACCTGGAAAGCATAGACCAGTGCAATAGCTCAATTGGTGCTCGCTTTGAAACCGGGAGGTCGTGAGTTCAAACCCCAACCGGGTCATACCAAAGACTTTAAAAATGGTACACAATTCTTTCTCTGCTTAGCACTCAGCACATAGGAGAAAGTGTGCGGGAAGGTCAAACACACAGCACTACCAATGGACTAGCCCCCTGCTGTAGTGCCTTGCTTAACTGTGTGTCGCCCCTATGCTCTGCATAGAGTGGGACCTTTGGAAAGCATACTAAGTACTTTATTAGACAATTTGGGGGTGTAGTTCTAAATCTAGTCAATAGGAGTCTCTCTCGTATAAAGAAACAACCATAAATGTCATCATCATCGGTCGGCTGCTGCGCAGGCGACTGCAAGGTCCCTCCACTGCCCCTTGTCGCTAGCAAGGTTGGCGATCTGCTTCTCTGTTAGTTGGTTGTGCTCATCTCCCAGTAGTCGCTGGACATACTTGAAGTAGGAGGTAGGCTGTCGGCCTCGCCTGCGTCTGCCATGAGAGGGCACGTAGAGGGCGTACAGTCTAACAGGTTCATCCTCAGACATGCGCAGGATGTGTCCCAGAAAGTTCAGCTGTCTCCGACGCACATGCTGAATCAGCGGACTAGTTTGGGTCAAGTTGTAAATGCTGTCGTTTGTTACCCGGTCACGCCTTTTGATGTTCAGCATAATACGGTAACACGAAGTAGCAAAGGAGTTGATTTTGTTCTCCATGTCCTTCGTGATTACCCAAGACTCACAACCATAGGACAACACTGATACACATGAGGCTTTAAAGAGCTTTACTTTAGTGGCAGTTGGGATGCACTCACTCCTCCAGAGATGCTCTAGTTTCCAGAAAGCAACCCATGCCAAAGCTCTGCGTTTCTTAAGGTCGTTACTGCTAGAGGCCATCATGGAGCCAAGGTATCTAAAAGTATAAATGTACCTCCATGGTAAAACACATCTTCCTATGGCTTAGTTGATCATATTGTAAATAAATAAGATATTTTTCTATAATATCTATACTTAAATCTTTCAAAATGGTTTTGAATATCATAATCTTCAAATGGCAACCATCCATAGAATTTATTGAAGTGTGATATTTCATATACATGTAATATACTTTTGAGATAGTTTTAGATAGCTTGTAAGTTGAGAATATAGAAGTACCTCTATTACCTGTATGTTTCTTTCTTGCATTCTTTGAACGACAAGTTGAAGACACTTTGTGAAGTCTGTGTGATCTTGGTCTGGTGTACAAATTACTTCACTGCCCTGGAGAAATTTTTTTTTTAAATCGTAGTCAAGAACTTCATGTACTATTAGCAAAAATGATTCTTTAACAATTGTTTGCATTATACTGCATTATATTGCAAATGTTTTCATTATACTGTTTAGTTCAGCATGAGTTTTTGACAAAAGATTTCAGTAAAACATTTATTTCTCTCTATACAAACATGCCAAAACAAATAGTATTATCTGATATATTCGTACAACATAATCATACCTTGTCCTTGTAGTATTGTAAGTTCTCAGATGATGCAGAGTCAAAATCTCCTGTAATAAGGTCTGGAATCCAACTGTGAAAAAATACCTTTAGAGACTTTCACCACTCGTAACTCAAAAAGAAGCCATTTTTTACATGTACAAATGTATGTAGAAAAAATATATAATTCACCCTTCATTTTGGGGGAAAAGATATGTTTTTTTCTGCTTTTGTATACAGTATTACCTTTAAAATTTAATTTCTGCAAATCAGGGAGGTTTATATCCTGTTGTAAGGTTTGCTTTTTGGTGTCACAAATAAATTATAAAGTACAGTAATTTCTCTTTCTGGAAGCTCTAATAAATGATTACCATAAAATCCAATGTCTCTCTGATTACATCTTTCTCTCTAAACCACTGTTCTCTGCATAATGGTTCAGATAAGAAAGACTTGAAAAAATACCTTTCTGGGTTGTTTCTTGTGGCGTCATACAGTCTGTTCACCCCTCCATCTGTAACTGCTTTCAGAACAGCTGCCACAACAGAGGTTAAACTTGTGTCAACTAAGATATAACATTCCTGCAGCCTAAAGTCCAAATACAAGCTAGAACAGAAACCCAGATGTTCATATCTACAATATGCCAAAGTCTTCTGCATGTTTAAGATAAGGCCACACCAATTTAATTTCTTGGTTAACGGATTTTTCTAGAATAATAATGGAGCGGGCGGGCGAAAAAAAATAAAAATAAAAACAGGCCTAGGGATCCTATTATGGCCCAAAATGGTACGATAGGAGCCATGAAGTCAACACACCAGACTGGTTCTAAATTTAAACAATGAATTTTGAACTTTTAATGATACCATTGTATTGAAAGATGGAAAAACTGTAACAACTAGGAAGAAAAGGACTGTTTTCAACTGTTCAGGGCAAAATATGAGCATTTTGCAGTTGATTCTGAATTTTTATTTTCAAATCAGAAAAAACCAAGGGGCGAATCCGTTAACCAAGAAATTAAATTGGTGTGGCCTAAAAGGACGTTCACAATGGGTATAGTAACAGAGGGCCTGTTTTTTGGCATTCCTGTAAATTTTGATATATCATAACATGTACTAGCCTAATGCAAAATATGGTAGCTGTATCACAAATAGGCAAGCAGAAACCATATTTTGTGCAACATACAGATTTTATCATCCAATGCCTATTACTAGTACTGTACATGCATATTAAATCAACTAACCTTTAGTCCACAGCACAGCGAGGACATCTAGTGACTGGGGCTGGTTCAGCACAATGAGAGCAATTCTTACACCTACAAAAAAATCATCTTGTGATATAATACCGAGCTTTGTTACCAAGCAGAAGTCAATTAAACCAAAAAAAAAACACACTCACACTCACTACGGTGTATTCAGTTTAGCATCTGTTGTTCCCCGTCTTAATAATTAAGAAAATGTTCTTTTGCTCCCACTACCTATTATGATGCTGATCATGAGGAAACAAGTATAGAAGAGAATATAGATACACATTCTTTTTCCAGAAAATGTCAAGTGTAGAAACTGTACCTTTATTTTGGGGATCCAAACATGCCAATGGAGTCAACTCTGTAACTGTTGGACTGGTAGAACTCATATTTGTCTATTCAAGTGCTGTGTAGATTTTCCTTCGCTACACTGGACCTGGATTAGAAAATATATGCATGTATGTATTCCTTTAATGTGTGAATCAGCATCATGATATGTACAGTATATACAGATTTATTGTACCAGAGAAATTCTGCCAGCTCTTTTCGTACATGTACAATAAACAATGGGGCATGGCCTAATGTCTCATCCTATGATCTGCGGGCAATTCTAGTAGTGTGCTTGTCAGATGAGCGACACAGCTGGGATTAGAACTCATGACTTCTTGGTCCATAGGCAGACTACTATCTTTTTGTTCTTGTGTATACACGTACATCTTTCATAAGCCACCTAGAAACCCACAAAACTCAAAATATCCAAATGAGCCAACAAAAAAAGAAGACTGCAAACAAGACAAAGAAATGGCTAAAGCCATACGTCTGCTTGAAGCTTTGGATCACCTGACACCTATTTACACACCTGTAGATGACATCACCTGGCAAAACCTGTCGGACCACTCAGGACACCTGAAAAGACAACACCCTTAGGCTTGAAGACTACCTTTTGACCTCACTGTATCTCATTACTGGCCTGTTATACATAAAAAAAGTGACTGCTGTAACTTTTGAATTGCCTACGTAGTAAAGGGAACTTTGCTTTTGGTACTCTACACTACATGAAATCTTTGGAAGGGAAGTTTTACGCAATCTTTTTACCACAAGCTACTGCTGGTATTACTGGTACAACTGTGATGACAGTCCCATGAATTACGTTTATGAGTTAACCGCTAACACATGTAAGTTAGTGATAGGACTAATGCATTTCAAAAAGACTCAATGCATCACTACAGCTACATTTGATCTTGCAACGAAAAAAAAAGAACAACCCAAACAATATGCATAACGTTAGGTAGAAAGGGGAAACTACATGTATAACCACCAGCCCATATGTATCTGAGTATGGTTTTTAAGTCACAGTTTTCAGTGTTTATCTAGCTACCTGTAAACCACATGGGCGCTAATTACCGTAATAAACAACTGAAGGTACTTAGTAACAATTTTCAAGACCAGGAAGTTTCCGCCCCTCCCCCTTACAAAACAAGCCCGGTATTTACGGGTTGGCGTTGTGATCCTGGCCGCTAAATCATTGTTGCGATCAACATGAATAACAAACGCTAGCGCATCATCTTATAATTTCCGGCAATAACAACGAATTAACAACAAAATTGCTAAAAAATCTAGAATTATTGCTACTTTGAACACACCTTCCCGCGCCATCTGTTTGACCCCTGACATGGAAAAAAATCAGCCAATCGTGGCTAAGATTCTGCTGTTCTCAGTCCCAGGATTCCCTCCCAAAAATCCTCACATTTCGGGTCAAATATTAAAATGAAACTTGATAAACAATACAAACTAATCATATAACGTTACTAGTTATGATTTTCGGTGTGAAAATGTTTAATCTGTCGGTTATTCGCTGTAGAGTCAGATAAATCATAAGATGTTGGGAACGACACTAGTCCTGCCCCTACAGGTTTGATTGGCGTGCTTGATTGACAGGTGGGCGTGGCCATTCTTTGTGTGTATTGATGCGAAACACTTTACAAGTAAGACGCGGTAGTGGAGGCAAGGTGTCTGTGCTCTTCTGTGGTTTCCGTCAGCTTTTCTCAGCAGCAACCATGCAAGGAGCCGTGTGGTTACTCGTAGTCGGCCTTACAAGCGTTGCTCGTGCACGTAAGTAGGAATTTCTACATGTTTTAGAGAAAACGGGAGGGTTTTTGTGGCAGGCGGTATCAGCTGGTGTTAGGCTAGGGAGGTTCAACTCAGTGAAGCGCTTTCAACCATGAAAAGTCGCTACACCCTTAGGCTATATGTTTTGAAATCTTCCTTTTCATGTTGTTTTTTCCTTGTAACATCTTCTTCTTAATGTCTAAGGATATTTTTAGAGAATTTGATCGTAATCGTTAATGTGAATGGTTCATGTATTATTTTGAAATCCAATATCTCACACACCCTTTGGGCTTGTTTCCAAAAACACGTTGTCTACCGTGTCAGTCTTGTGATTTCAAACCGCGACACCGGACAGGATTTTATCGAATATCGCGGAAAATTCCACCCGACGGCGGATTTTCTGACGCACATGGCAGTTTTGCTTGATTTTAATGATAGAATTTGGACGCATGCCTGCGCATTTTGGCTTGGAATTTACTGTAGTTTACATGTTTTGAGTCGAGAGCGCCACAAACTGAACGGGTCCATCGTTCAAAGGGGTGCCGTAAAAAAATCAAAAGTAAGTTTTCAACAGATTTTAGTAATATTTTGAACGTTTTCAGCCTTAAAAATGATTGCGTTATTAAAAAATTAACGTAGTTTTACATAGAAAGTTCTTATGGGTTCTAACCAATCAAACTAAAGAAACACTTAAGTCCAACCCCTACCCTATACGGTTTGGCATGATCCGTTCTCAGGTAATTAGGTGTGGTGGTGCAAGACAATTGCATCTTTTCATTAAGAAACAGCTTAGTTTGAATTCATGCCTAGATAATACCTACAGCTTATGCAAGGGCTGTACTTACTAAACAACAGTACCAAATGCATAGTGTTCTTCATGTTTTTAAAAGGTGAAAATTTGGTACAGCACAGGTAAAACGTGAACAGGTATGTTTTTAAGAGGTCTGAGAAGGAATCTACATCCTTTGTAAACTCAGAACCACTTTTAGCCTTTCCTGTCACCAATACACCGTCCCTCGAAATAATAAAATCGTGTCTCGAAAACCAGTTTTTTGAAAAGTTACTACGTTTTTTTACAGTCGTAACTGTCAGGAAAAAAATGGCGGACAAAGTTGACTCATCCACCTGGTTATTATGCAAATCCATGACCCATCCTGTTGTACCATTGTGTACCTACTGGCACGGGATGATTAGGCATACCTGGGGGCAGCCTTCCTTTTTGTGGCAGGGGTCCAATTACGTTTGCAAATGAGATGCCAGGTTTACTGGTAAACACGGTATTGTCTGAAACATCGCTGTATCATGTTTTCAGCCTAACCTCGAGCTAAATTCTTGTGATCCAGAGAAATGAATGCTTATGCTTTTTTTTATGGAAGTTTTTACTCTTGTATACTTTGTAACGGTTTTTGTTGAATTCTGTTATTCTAAAACAGGTTTTTCTGAGCTGGGTACTTAACTTTTGAACCATGTTAAGAGGGAAAAAAGAAAGCCATACAGAGTAAATCAATTCAATAATGTTTTTCCTGTCATCCTAGGTTTTATAACAACATTGTAAAGTAACTTAGGTCCTTTCATGGCTAATTTGCAACAATTCTCTGAGAATATTTTTGTAATGACTTGCAAAAGTAAATATTTCAATATCATCAGTAATCCAACTATTTGTATTCATGTCACATTTTCTGCTTAATAATAAATCAGATTCAAACTTATAATATTGAAATAGTAATTCCCAATAAAAATGCAGTGTAATGCAAAAGGTTTATTGTAGGCATGCTTGAGTGAGTTTGGGCTATTTGTGCATGTGACAATTCATCGATTTAACATCTTATTTACCAGTACATTTATACCCATTCCCTTGTAAAAGAAAACTTGTTACTATTGCTCAAATGCAGGGCCAACATAAATACCTAAAATCTGAAGGTGTAAGTCAGCAAATATAAGACAGCAAAACTCAGAAACATAAAAATTATGTAAATATATGATTACTAATATTTCCTTTATTAAGACATGGGCTCGCGTGAAAGACAAATGGGACGTTTTAAAAATGCTCTTCAATGCAAACTCACGAAGTTATTGCTTAGTAAACATTGCCTTGTTCCAGGGGAGCTTTCATCTGCATATTTTTGTTTTCACATACAAGATACCGTGTTTGCACTAATATGCTTAATATGTGTAAGATTGCAAGGTGTAGAAAAAACCTTGGATATAGAAAGGCCATGTTTACAGAGTTAATGACTCTTTAGAAGGTGAACAACCTTGAAGAAGTTTGCTTGTGATATGCTTGGGTGGGTATGAGCTATGTCTGCAGAAACAGATGTATCAGCTTACACTTCATGCATGTTACCTTGCAGGTAAAAGGACACATAACATGGGTGGAGTGGGGTTTGCTGTCGTGGGAAATTTTTAGATTTGAAACCCCTGAAACACAACTTTGCACACTTTTTGAGGCAAATTTCAAATGGCTTCTTCGGAATTTTTGCAAAAATTTTGTGTCACTGCTGACTGTTATATACCGGTAATAATAAGATAAGAATAAAAGTGTTGATTTTTGTCAATGGGGACAGAATGGTTCAATCTTTATGTCTGCCACAAGTGGCAATCTCCCAGATAGAAGGACAGGTAGTTGAGAGCCCTAATGACGAGTAAAGAGTATACGAAAGGGACTAGATTGGTACAGATTTTGCCCGAACAGTCCTTTCATAGTTTGAGAACATTACCGGTACACTTTGTGTATTCAGTCAGAGTAATGTGTTTTCCTAATGGATCAATTCATTAGTATGGTGTATGAGTTCCAACGTGTGGTGTGTTATACAGAGGACATTAAGGTAGAATGGATTCTATTCTGTTGGCATATGAGTTAACTATGAAAGTACTAGTTAACATGGTTTTAGACTAACTCAGTAAGTAAAGATAAAATTTGCCGAACTGTCCCTGAAGCAAAAATTAGTTAAAATACTGTAAGCACCACCACTAGCACATTAGACACGTGTAGACCATATGGCAAAGTATTAACAAAACCAGGAAAGGTCTTCATTTGTGTACCCTTTGTTTCAGTAGATCAGTAGAACTTCTACATTTAATTTGGGATCTCAAATTTGAGTTAAGAAGAAAAAGAAGGAATGGGAAACAAATGAAATTTGAGTAGCCAAACTTCTAATACATGCTACACACATGGAAAAGTTATTCATTTTGATATAAACAAGAGCCAGCATTTCAGAACACTGTTACACACCCACACACCACCCTCTGAAATAAACATCCACATTCAAGTCTGTTCAACAAAACCCCCCACTCAAACACTTTTTACCTACACAACTCAAAGTTATTTGACCCATCGCTGCCTTTCAGCAAAACCTCTGTGTTGTTTGACAATTAGGTGTTAGCTAACAATGTGGGCTTGTTAATCAGTGAGTTCAGCCTATAGATGGAGTGGCCCATTGATACTCAGCCCTTGTTTGTGTTGAGTGGTGGGGTGTGGTATTCCAAGCTGCCTGCCAAAGAGATAATGTACTTTTAATAGCTACACGAACATACTCAAGTTCACCAAGAGACCTTGTTGGGACATAAAACACTGGACTGTGAGCAGGCAAATAACATGTAACAGGCAAATCATAGCTATCGGGAAATGTTTCAAGCCTTACTAACATTTCTTCTTTAGGAAGGTGGAGTTTATTTACTACCTCATTAAACTTTATTGACTAGGGAGTCTATAAAACTGCTTGGGGGTGAATTATGTTGTTTTCTTACCCTACAAGTAAATGATAGCACAGCCATGCATGTATATATGTCATTATTATGAAAGGAAATTCAGAATCATTTATGTATTCCAAGAAAAGTACTTTTTTATTTGACAACAGTTTTGAGATATCTGATGATGTAATTTTGGTAGAAAATACATTTGTATTAGAAAGTAAAAATCAATTTGAATCACAGCATACAGTACAAAGCAAACCAAGCCTGGAGTAACATGCTACCATCTGCTTTTAAAGTTGACATGGTCAATAAATCGCTGTTGACTCCAGACCATTCAGCATATGGTTGTGATAATGTTGTCTTGACAAACATACTTTGAAAATAAACTAGGGTCAAAAAGTCACATTTTACGTTAAAAAGGATACAGAGGTTAAACACAACATGCCCCATAGTAGAGGCTATACATAGAAAACTTATGTACTTCCAGCAGCAGAATAAGCCACTGAATGAATTCACTGATTTTGTAGAAACCAACAGAGATTGTTTTTTCCTTCTATCCTAAAAAAACAGATAAAGGTAAACTTCTAACATCCACTACAACCAATGTACTGAATCGTAGTACTGATGGTTACCAGAAATACTTTTATTAATTGATTAATATTCTTCAGAATTTAATATGTAAATATATGTAGATAAGTATTTAGAGGACAGGTTCAAAATAGCATTTCTGTTGAAACTCATGTCCACTTGAGTTGAGGAGTGCCCCTCTCTCCTGGGACCAAACATAAGCTCCATATGTGGTGTACTAACACACCTCCACATGGGGGTGATTGGAGTGGTGTGGTCACAAATCATATGGGATCAGGCCACAACAGCTCCATCAGTTGTTTCTGGTACTGGAAATCCGAAATTTGGGTGAAAAAGAAACAAAACTTGTATGAATTATATAAACATAAATTTACGTTTATCTATATCATGCAAAGGCTTAGTTCATACAAGATACAGACATCACATATTTCAGTCCAGTATATTATGTAATGATTATGATATTTGAGCCAAGTCTTCTATTTCAGTAAACAACAAAAATTCTATTTAAGTTTTACAAAAAAATCCATTTCAGTTTAACAAAAAAATTAAACACAACACAGTATTCTACTCCAACTTGGGTTGGCCTGTTCCCAAACTGCCTAGCCTGGATGCCAGACCCAAAGCACACTGGACACAAAATATCTCAGTGTGCACACTGAGATATTTTGTGTCCAGTGTGCTTTGGGTCTGGCATCCAGGCTACAAACTGCCCTTCCAATGCA